TAATAGAAATTTGTTTGTTTTCAGAATTAAAATTAAAACGCATTAAAGTGACACATTTATAGTCATCTAATGATTTGACTTAAAGGTAACTATTTATAGAACTCTTGTTTTTACAGTATCAATGGTAATTGTTCAATAACTATAAAGTGTCCAATAACTGTCCACTTTACCCTACAAAGAATAAAATAAAATGGTTGTAATGGAAAAATTGGTGAAACGTAAAAACCAATAATAGATATAAAGAGATAACTGGCTCGTAGCAGTAGCAACAAATAAAGCAAATTGTTGTTGGTAAACGAACAAACGAACGAAATAGCGAGTGGGTAGCAATTGCATAAACAAAACACAAAATAACAATAGCGAAGCAGTTTGGTTTTCTGCATGCGCTCGCTTCAACCGAATACAAACAAGCATAACGGTGCTTAAGTGAAATTTATTTCCACATTCTGTCGGGCGGTTATGGTCTTGTTTTTCTCCAACGCTATCCGTATAATTTAATTCCAGCCAGTTACGGCCGCTGCCTCGCTCCGGAATTCCTAACTGCCGATTTCGTTCTTTCTGCCCGCTCACCATAACGACATGCACGTTCCCTTTTACCATGCCAAACGTTTTATTTACGGAATCTTCTTCGAGTCTACTTTGGTCGACAATTTTAATTAATTTTCTCCTTCAATTATCCAATCTTTAGCGTTTTCATTCCATGTATTTGCAAACGGCATCTCTTGATAACAATTTTTTAGCTTCTTTAATTAATTTTTCATGCCCATTCCATTTATGGTACGAAGCCCGATTATTTGTTTTGTATTATCGATTAAAAATATTTCTGAAACCTATTTCTCCATTTGAAGGTTTGGGACTACCATTGCCTTAGTTTCTCCAGTCGTCTTCAAGTGAATACTTGCATCCAGGTGCCACAAATCTGTTGATGGTTTAATTTCAAGGTCGCGGTTTCTAGACTTTCCTTATGTCCACTGAAGGCTTTCTAAAGCAGTCATAGTTCTGCTGTCTTGAACTTCCTTTTCCACCAGTGTGTCAGTTTTGTCTTCGTTGAGTTGCCTCTTAAGTCCTCAGTAGCACAAAGATATTGGCCCAATATAATAATAATAATAATAATATTGAAACCCAACATTGGCCCGACCTTGTTTGACATTATATAACCGATATTGGAAATCCGCATTGACCCGAAGTTGTTTTACATTATATTCTAGGAAAGTTGAGGGAGAATTAAAAGAAAAAAATATATCCACCTAGTACTTCTACCTAGTAGGATTTCTAAAAGTGATATGTCACGATCGTGTCGACAAACACGAAATGTTTATAGTAGGTACTTAGGGGCGTAGAAGCGGGGGGGGAGGGTGACAATGCCCACCCAATTGATAAGGGGTAGAGGAGGTTTACTTGATATAAAATGTCCCCTTCAAATTCTTTGAAAAAATCTACCAATAAGACAATTCGTGTACCGTCTATGTTATTCTTATACGTATGTTATTCGTATACGATGAAATGCTAAAATAGTTTGTATCGTGTGCTAAAATGATCAGCTTGAGCTTTATTAACGTAACAACGAATTTTATTGCTAATAAGACAAGAAATCGCATATTACCCTTGTTATTCTTAAGGTAATATGCAAGAATTGCCTTTATTATTTTCACCCATTTGGTGCTAAACAATAAGGATGGTAGTCGGTTGCGCCACCCCTCAACTTAAAACCGTTCCTGCGCCACTAGTATAAACATATCCAGAAAATAAACGTGTATCGTTACATATCACTTTTAGAAATCCGAAAGCATCGTTGACTATAGTTAATGATATATTGGCCTAAAATAATATGCCAATATAGGACCAACCTTGGATAAACATTGGCAATGATATATTAAATTATTATTTTATGCCAATATAGGGCTAACATCGGCTAAATAAATCCAATATTGGGCCCAGATAAAATAAATTGGGCATAGACGCGCCCCATATAGGACAAATATTTTGTGTCTTCAAGTGAATACTTGCATTCAGGTGCCACAAATCTGTTTATGGTTCAATTCCAAGGTCACGGTTTCCAGACGTTCCTTATGTCCACTGAAGGCATTCTAAAGCAGTCATGGTTCTGGTGTATTGCGGCTGCTGTCTGAACTTCCTTTTTCACCAGTGTGTCAGTTTTGTCTTCGTTGGGTTGCGTCTTAAATGTGTCCCTTCCCTGAACCTTCCCTGTCACTTGATATGGTGACCATGTACCAGGCATGGTCAGCTATCCCTGATTTATTGGTCCTTTTTGCGTGTTATTATAATGTCTTATTTTTTTGCCGATATATGACCTACATGTGAAGCCTGTCATAGCAAAACTGACAATCTCCACTTTTGGTCAAAAATTAGATTTTTGGCGGAGACTGTACTTCAACTCTAAAAGATGATAAAGTTTATGTGCTGTAAAAGGAGATAAATCCTGCCTAAAATCCTATTTTAAAAATGACATTTAGTGCAAAGTCGACAATCTCCACTGATAGATTTGCAGCAAAGTATACAATCTCCAATTCCACCATTATTAGTAATTTGTGTCACCTGATATCCTAACATTTGATGTTATAACGTATTTTAGAGATTTAATTTTCTGTTTTTTTTACTGGTACATACTGTTAAGTTCTTTTGATGTAAATTACACTTAAAAATATATTTAAAATAGGTATACGTTTTATTGTTTTATCTACTCCTACATTGACGAGCTGTGACTTTATGACGTTTTATTGACGTGCTGAAGTTAACAACAGTGGCCTTTCGACATTTTACGCCACGGGCTGAAGTTAGCTTTATTATAAATTGGGAAAAAGCGAGGTTAAATTCGGGTGACAGTTGACAGATGTCAAAATTTTAACAAATAAAATTGGCTTTAAATTCTGTTTTGTGTTCGTCGTAGATAAAGTATAGTTTGCAACTCGTTTATAAACTTCTCTAGACACTCGTTTTTATTAAACACTCGCTCGCAAGCTTCGCTCGTGCTTAATTAAACTCGTAACTAAAATGGCGTTTATCAAACTTGATACAAAATATACTATTAAGAATTATAAAAAAAGTTATCGTGTATTTTGTGTTATTATACCATAATAAGACGAAAAGGTAAAACAAGAAAAGGCTGATAATGTCAAAACATTGCAAGTAAAACATTACCTACGGGGCAAAGTGGGAAGAAGATAATGAGTTGTTGTACTATAAAAACTTTTTTGCACGAGGCAACCTGGTCCCAGATTTAGAAGAAACTCCAGATTTATGTGGTCCAGTTCAGAATTTTCCCACATTGATTGTATAGTTAAATTTTATAACCATTAAAGGAATAAAAATACAATTATTTTTTTGTTTATTTTTCTAAATCTCCTTAAACGTTTACAACAAAATGAGCAATCTCCAGCAACTCATATCAAAGTCAGCAATCTCCAATTTATAATTATAGATTTCACATATACTATGCATCCTGGAGACCTACATGTAGTTGGCTACTAGACTAACGGGAGATTGTTGACTTTGCTCTGACAGGCCTCATGTAGGGATTGCAATCCTGAATTTTTTAATACTTAAAAAACGTTTATTATTATTTTTCATAAAAAACCTTAAATAGGTACCAATTTATAGAAAATAAAAAATAAATGAAATAAATTTTTAATTCAACAGCAATAAATCAATTAATTTAATTTATTGATATTTATAACTAAAATTTTTCATTAATATTTTTATTATTTCAAACATTAATTTTACAAATATTCATGTTTTGTTAATTTTTAAACTCTGTAAAATATAGGTTTTTTATAAATTAGCTAGTTTCTAGAGGACTGAAAAAATTTTATGAAGAAAATTATTGCCAGCTGGATCCAGCAATTTATACATTTTTTAAAGAAAATTAAAAAAATATTTAAAGAATTTTTTCATACTTGAGTATCCAATAGAATGTTTTTCTTGTCTTTTGGTTTGTTGGTTTTGTCTTCCTTAGGTGGCTTTTTAGCTGAATACAGTGTTGATGTATTGACGTTATGTTCTTCTTATTTTTTTTCAAAATTTCTGACGGTGGATGAGGTTCTTTGTCTTTTCTACGTGGGTTCAGCCGATTTCTTATATTTTTATGGTAACGTGACAGTTTCATTATAGTGCTTTTTTGTATACTGTGATCTTATTTCAGAAAGTTGTTCTGGTTAAAACAATAACAATGAACCATTCAAGCCGAGAAACAAAAATGGCGAATCCCAAACGCAAAAAACACCGATTGATTGATGACGAGACTGTAAATGGTATCATCGAGCGTTTTATTATTCGAATGCGATATCGGAGAAACAAAGGCAGCGACCGTCTGGCAGCAACCGACGACAAAAGAAGATCGGGCGAAAAGGGCGATAAAGGAAAACAAACGACTGGCGAGAGGACGGGTTTGCAGACGGTCTTAAAATGGCCTCCTCGGATGTGCACCTCGGGACCGGCTCATTAAAATGCGAAGTCGTCGATCGCTCGAAACACAGTTGGCCTAGTTCACATGCCACGTTGTCGCACTTACGTCCAATCGAATTTGTCCCCTACTATGCTGTCTTTTTCGATCAAAAATTCGCGAACAAGCAAAAATTTATAAATAAAGTTTTTTTAACGGTATTATTCTACTTTTAACAAAACCGAGTTCATACTGTCTATGAACTAGTTGGCTGTCCTAATACTAATAAAGAAATCTTATAAGAAGTATTATATTTTTTATAACAGGAATTAGATTTTCCCCTAAGTGAAAACCTTTGGATTAATTTGAATAGATGGCGTTCGTAGCTGCGCTTCAGATTAAATGAAAAACATAACCACAAATTCATTCATTCAATTGTTTTAGCGAGAAATTAGTTTAAATAGTAAAGCTCTCAAGGTAAGTTTGACAGATTTGAGCCACTGTGAAAAAAACAATTCCGTGTCGTTTTGCAGTGTTCAATGAATTGAAAGGTTCATAAGGATTGATAATCGCTTGTAAAGAATTTTAGCTGAAAACAAGTTCACTTCATTTGTATAAAATTACCTTTTGCTGGAGCAGATCCGGAAGTTTCGAGCTGCGTTTGATTGCCGTCGGCGTTGCTGGCTGCAGCTGTTGCAGCTGCGTTCAGCTTCCGGGCGCGCGGTTTGCGCCCGTTGACCGGGGCGCCGTTTTCAACGTTTTTCGCGCCAAAATTTGAGGCGGACTGTCCTCTGGTCCCGCGAACCTAAAAGAAGAAAGATTATTAACTATGCATGAACATTTAAACCTTCAGTTTGTGAAGTTGTGAAATATTGCATTTGCCATAAAATTAAAAATGTTACTAAACCCCATCATCCACTTGCTAGGCCAATTGTTTTTATTTTTTGATCGGCCTTTAAACAAATATAAAACGTGTCCGAATATTGAATCTCTTTATCAGAGTACACTATCGGATCAACATGTACCCCGGGCAGTGTTGCCATGTCAAATGTAAATATAAAAAATCTACGCAGCCATCTGAAATCATATGCTTACACGGAAAAAAATGTTTTCTAAATGTAAGAATACCTTTATTTTCAAAAAAATTCACTTGATTTAAGGAATAATTTGCTTAGACTACTCTATTCTGTTCTTAAAGATATAAATATAATTATATTTATTCTAAAATTATTAAATATTGGTACGACTGGCGTATTCTTAAAAATATCCCCCACTCACGAAAGTGTTCGACATTTTGAAAGATTGTTTCTTGTGTTAGTTAATATTCGGTTTGGAATTATGAAAGAGCTGCTAAATTAGTGGAATTTGATAGAATTAACCACCAAATCTATGTGTATGTAATAATTATTACATAATTATATTTATGTGTGTAGTATTATGTATTGAATTTGGATGTTGGAGTGATATTAGGTTGGCCGAAGAATCACATAAAAAACAATGATATACATATATATATAGGTACAAAGTATAAAATATTTCGGTGTAAAGTTACCAAATGGAGTGGTAAAATCATTTGGTGTTAATATGTACACTAAAATTGGTCAAAAATATTAAGTGTTTATTTTAAATTGTGGTAAAATTTATTCGTGTTAATTTAAATTCATTTAACACAGCACCGTGTCAATCTAGTCTTAATTTAAAGATTAACTCGACGCGGTGTACATTTGACACTATTATGTGTTGACAGCTACAAAAATTGTGGTAAAAAAAGTCACGCAGTCATCACCATTCGCTAACGGCAAGGGCGCGATCAGTATTCCGAGTGCAGTTGATGGTAGTGCACTCTCTAAAAATGAATTAGTCAAAAATGACTGCTTTTTCACTTGTACCATGGTTAACCTTGTAATACCATGGTATCACAAAATTTAACAGCCAATTCTTATGAAAAATTGTCCCCTGAAATCGAAAATACCGTCAAAAATTATGAAAGTGGAGCATTTTTTGAGATATAGTCAATTCCATATTAAATGGAAAATTGACTATATCTTAAAACCTGTTCTACTTTTTTAACTTTTGACGACATTTTCGGATTCAAGGGATAATTTTACATAAGAATTGGTTGTTAAATTTTGGGATAACATGGTATCCCATGGTTAACCATAGCACAAGTGAAAAAGCAGCCACTTATAACTATTAAATTAGTCATTTTTGACTAATTCATTTTTAGAGAGCATGCTATTTTAATTTAAGACCATGGTTTTTAAATTAAAATTCAGTGGTCTGATGAAGTGGTGCAATGTGACAGTGGATGCAACTTATGTTTGTGATAAAACATATTTTTTTAACTGTTATTTTTAAGTGAAATATGAAATTTAGTAATATTTTAAGTTTTTTGAGCTAGTGAAAAATTATATAAGCTAAATATGGTTTTGCACAAACTAAAATATTACTACTTTTTAACCAATTAAAAAAATTATTAACACTTCTTGGGTATAAACATAGTATATACTTTATTTTACATTACATCACATGACCATTTTTAACACCTACACGTAACACCTAAGTGTGTAGTAAATTATACCAAATTTAGCATTTTCTACTCTTGAATGGAGTTCTTTTACCAATAGTGCGTGTTGCTTTTACCCCTAAGAGTGTATTATATTTGATGATTTTTACACTGTTTCTTGTACAATTAGTACAATTAAAAAGGGTAAAATTTACCAAATTGTATGTGGTTAGATATACCATTTCTAGTGTGGACCACTTTTGGTATTGTTTTTTACCAGAAATTTTATACTGTGTATTTGAAACATTGTTAAAAATTTATGTAATAAAGAATGCTATAGACCAATATCATTTTTTTCAGGTTAAGTTAAGCAATAATTTTTTTAAATATTGTCTATTCTCTTTTTAACTTTTGCTCGACTTTGAAGGTTAGGATATAATGACCATGTTTATTTTAAAAGGTGGATTATTCTATCTATTTTTCTCTATCGGTCTTAGAAAAAAAGAGATACCATAATCCATTCTTTACCTTTTGAAATAAACATGCTCATTATATCCTAACCTTTATTTAAAGTCTAGCAAAAGTTAAAAAAAGAATAGACAATTATTGCTTAACTTACATAAAGATAATTTATATTTAATCCAAAAGTAAATATTATATCGCCAAGAATATAACATTTGTATCAAAAAATACTTATTCTTAAATTAAGCATAGTGCATATTTTATTTGAGGGTGCTTGCATTTAAAATAATATAATAGTTTTCTTGAATTTCTAAGAATAATTTTACCCTTGCACCTAATATTGAAATTATATCCAAATAAGTATAGGTTAGTTCTTGCATTCAACTCCCTATATCCTTTAAATAAGTATTAAAATAAGAATAAATCAATCCTTCAATAAAAAGTATCTATACTTGCGGAATGGTGAGATGAAGATACACAGTAAAAAAAATCAACTCTAAGCAACACTAATTAGAGTTCACACAGGTCCACACTAAATAGTGCTGTTTTATAAAACTACAATTAGAGTTAATTTGTAGTGTAATTTTCCCCAAGTAAGCAAGTATGATTGATTTAACACTATAGCACTGAGGATAAAGTAATATTACACTGTATTAAAAAGTGTTAATTTACCTAAAATCGTGTACTTCACTTCCTGGGTAAAATCCCACTTTTGTTAAGTGTAAATTAACACTACTTTGGAAAAGTTCTAATTTTAGAAAGGTACTTTTCCTCTTTTAGTGCAAACTTCTAGTGTAAATTAACACTATTATTTGAGGAAAACCTATTGGTGATAGTGAATAAAACGAAAAGGTAAATAAAGAGAAACATCTATTTGGAACAAAAATCTATGACAATTATCAAAATCGGTGCCTTTTAAAATATAAATTTATATTTGAGTCGTATGGCTGGCTTAAGCAAAATGGTTCCTTAAAACGTAAAAGTTTTAGATCAATGCAATGTTTTACTGGCTGTCAACTTCTAAGCAATGAATTATCTTGAGAATTCATCAGTATACTTATATATTATAATCCATTTTTCTGTTATAAAAAATGGGTGATCCCATTGGTAGAGGCGTCAGGCGGCTGTATGTCGGGGATTTACCACACGTGTGCAAATTTTCCATAATATTAATAAAAATGTAGGTATAGGTTAATATAACAACCATTACGCTTGAAAATAAAAAGTAAATCAGGTGTGTATGTATTTATATTATTAATTTTACAAGTACCCGATCTACTGCCGTAAATTATTGATATATAATATAGGTCGGGTATGTCCATACATGGACATCCTTTTAACCTATTGGTATTTATTAAGTATTAATGCTTAAAGAAAAAGGAAGTATAATACTTGCCAAAAAACAAGAATGTCCTCTTATGGAAATCTAACTGAACAAAAATGCCACACTTCCACAACGCGGTATCTCCGGATATGCACTGCGTAGGTAGATAGGTACCAACCAAACATTTTAAAACGCATTTCGGTTATTACCAGTTTTTTCAGTCTATTTTGCCTCTATTGGTGTAATTTAACTTTAATTGTGATACAATGTGCACTAGTAGTGTAAAGAAAAAAGAGCTCTTATATAGTAACATCAAAACAGACAAAGAAATTGGCATGCACTGTAGTGTACATTTTGTCACTATTTAACAAATTAAGGGGTAATAAACACTCGCATTAAGTTTTTCTACCCTTTTGATTTATTTTAATAATAAATAGTGTGAATGTACCAATGAATAATGTTCATATTCTTTAAATGTGTTTAATAAAGTTAATAAGCACTAAATGCTACCCAGTGTATTTTGTAGTGTAACTTTTACACTTACAAATCAACTCTAATATTTTTACCCCTACACTAAAAAATATACACGGGCAAAATTTTTTACTGTGGATACTTGGACTGAGATGATTAAAATTTAATATAGAATAGCTTTTTTCCGTGCAGTCAAAGTTGCTGACTTATCTGTAACTATTTAAACAGCAAATGTAAATGTTGTTTTATATAATAAAAGTACAAATTTTATTATACCAATAGGTGACAAGAAGGTATTTGATTAAGACTCTCCCGTAGATCCAAAAGTAAATAGTTGTCTGTCAACTTACAAAATAGGCAGTAGTACTACTCTTTGAAGCACAAAAAATGTGAGGATTGTCAACCGCGGCACACTGCACTTAGCATATATTATTATATTGCGATGGAATCGATCACGGTACAGGATCGTCTTCAGGGGCAATTGTCTCTGGCGCGGGGCTACTTTTTTTAAATTTGACTCATGTCCCAGACATTTTTTCCGTTGCGTTACGTCCGTCGTGTTACCGATAGAATATTAAAAAAAACATATATATGGCAACTTTTTTGTCACTCAGGTGATCAACAAATGATGTTCGGACGTAAACATTACCCAGCTGAATTTATTTATTCAATCAGGAAGAAGATATTGGTTGAAACAGGTGCGGGTAACGCGAATGTAATAATTGTTTGTCCGCTAAATAAGGTAAGAAACAATACTATTTTTCATTTTTATGTTTATTTTAGGGCACTAAAGCTTATTGAGAGTAATTAATGACTGTAATGTCTTATTATTATTTTTTAAATATGGTTTTACAAAACTTTTTCCACTGCGTTACCGAGTCCATTATGTTACCTTATGGTAACGCAATGGAATTTAGGGTAACGCAATAGAATTTTTCAACAACAAAGTGGATATTTACCGTCGCTTTTATTAAAAGTAGTTTATGAGAAACCAATTTAAAATTATTTGTGATTACAACTCATGATATAGATTACATCCAAGGGAAAATTCCACGCAATATACAAGTACTAAAAGGGACCTTCACCAGCTTATAGTCAAAGAAAAAGGGTGTCTACAATTTAGAAATCTAAATTGTTATTCTGCAAGTGAGCACCACTACAAGGGATTTTGTTTATGCATTAATCTAAAATCGTATATATAGATCCAAAAGTAAATAATTGTCTGTCAACTTAAAAAATAGGCAGTAGTACTACTCTTTGAAGCACAAAAAATGTGAGGATTGTCAACCGCGGCACACTGCACTTAGCATATATTATTGTATTGCGATGGAATCGATCACGGTGCAGGATCGTCTTCAGGGGCAATTGTCTCTCGCGCGGGGCTACTTTTTTTAAATTTGACTCATGTCCCAGACATTTTTTCCGTTGCGTTACGTCCGTCGCGTTACCGATAGAATATTAAAAAAAACATATATATGGCAACTTTTTTGGCACAAATGATGTTCGGACGTAAACATTACCCAGCTGAATTTATTTATTCAATCAGGAAGAAGATATTGGTTGAAACAGGTGTGGGTAACGCGAATGTAATAATTGTTTGTCCGCTAAGTTACTCAAAAAAAATAATTTAAAAATAAGCTAAGAAAAAATACTATTTTTCATTTTTATGTTTATTTTAGGGCACTAAAGCTTATTGAGAGTAATTAATGACTGTAATGTCTTATTATTATTTTTTAAATATGGTTTCACAAAACTTTTTCCACTGCGTTACCGAGTCCATTATGTTACCTTATGGTAACGCAATGGAATTTAGGGTAACGCAATAGAATTTTTCAACAACAAAGTGGATATTTACCGTCGCTTGTATTAAAAGTACTTTATGATAAACCAATTTAAAATTATTTGTGATTACAACTCATGATATAGATTACATCCAACTTGGATGATCCAAGGGAAAATTCCACGCAATATGCAAGTACTAAAAGGGACCTTCACCAGCTTATAGTCAAAGAAAAAGGGTGTCTACAATTTAGAAATCTAAGTTGTTATTCTGCAAGTGAGCACCACTACAAGGGATTTTGTTTATGCATTAATCTAAAATCGTATATATAGATCCAAAAGTAAATAGTTGTCTGTCAACTTACAAAATAGGCAGTAGTACTACTCTTTGAAGCACAAAAAATGTGAGGATTGTCAACCGCGGCACACTGCACTTAGCATATATTATTATATTGCGATGGAATCGATCACGGTACAGGATCGTCTTCAGGGGCAATTGTCTCTCGCGCGGGGCTACTTTTTTTAAATTTGACTCATGTCCCAGACATTTTTTCCGTTTCGTTACGTCCGTCGCGTTACCGATAGAATATTAAAAAAACATATATATGGCAACTTTTTTGGCACTCAGGTGATCAACAAATGATGTTCGGACGTAAACATTACCCAGCTGAATTTATTTATTCAATCAGGAAGAAGATATTGGTTGAAACAGGTGCGGGTAACGCGAATGTAATAATTGTTTGTCCGCTAAGTTACTCAAAAAAAATAATTTAAAAATAAGCTAAGAAAAAATACTATTTTTCATTTTTATGTTTATTTTAGGGCACTAAAGCTTATTGAGAGTAATTATTAATTAATTACTAATTAATGACTGTAATGTCTTATTATTATTTTTTAAATATGGTTTCACAAAACTTTTTCCACTGCGTTACCGAGTCCATTATGTTACCTTATGGTAACGCAATGGAATTTAGGGTAACGCAATAGAATTTTTCAACAACAAAGTGGATATTTACCGTCGCTTTTATTAAAAGTAGTTTATGATAAAACAATTTAAAATTATTTGTGATTACAACTCATGATATAGATTACATCCAAGGGAAAATTCCACGCAATATACAAGTACTAAAAGGGACCTTCACCAGCTTATAGTCAAAGAAAAAGGGTGTCTACAATTTAGAAATCTAAGTTGTTATTCTGCAAGTGAGCACCACTACAAGGGATTTTGTTTAATTAATCTTAAATCGTATATATAGATCCAAAAGTAAATAGTTGTCTGTCAACTTACTAAATATGCAGTAGTACTACTCTTTGAAGCACAAAAAATGTGAGGATTGTCAACCGCGGCACACTGCACTTAGCATATATTATTATATTGCGATGGAATCGATCACGGTACAGGATAGCCTTCAGGGGCAATTGTCTCTCGCGCGGGGCTACTTTTTTTTTAAATTTGACTCATGTCCCAGACATTTTTTCCGTTGCGTTACGTCCGTCGCGTTACCGATAGAATATTAAATAAACAACTTTTTTGGCACTCAGGTGATCAACAAATGATGTTCGGACGTAAACATTACCCAGCTGAATTTATTTATTCAATCAGGAAGAAGATATTGGTTGAAACAGGTGCGGGTAACGCGAATGTAATAATTGTTTGTCCGCTAAGTTACTCAAAAAAATAATAAAAATAAGGTAAGAAAAAATACTATTTTTCATTTTTATGTTTATTTTAGGGCACTAAAGCTTAATGAGAGTAATTAATGACTGTAATGTCTTATTATTATTTTTTAAATATGGTTTCACAAAACTTTTTCCACTGCGTTACCGAGTCCATTATGTTACCTTATGGTAACGCAATGGAATTTAGGGTAACGCAATAGAATTTTTCGACAACAAAGTGGATATTTACCGTCGCTTTTATTAAAAGTAGTTTATGATAAACCGATTTAAAATTATTTGTGATTACAACTCATGATATAGATTACATCCAAGGGAAAATTCCACGCAATATACAAGTACTAAAAGGGACCTTCACCAGCTTATAGTCAAAGAAAAAGGGTGTCTACAATTTAGAAATCTAATTTGTTATTCTGCAAGTGAGCACCACTACAAGGGATTTTGTTTATGCATTAATCTAAAATCGTATATATCGTATAGATCCAAAAGTAAATAGTTGTCTGTCAACTTACAAAATAGGCAGTAGTACTACTCTTTGAAGCACAAAAAATGCGAGGATTGTCAACCGCGGCACACTGCACTTAGCATATATTATTATATTGCGATGGAATCGATCACGGTACAGGATCGTCTTCAGGGGCAATTGTCTCTGGCGCGGGGCGTACGTCCAACCTCGACGCGGCCGTTGCGGGGGCGGCAAATGGCGGCGGAGACGAGCGCTCGAACCGGGGACGGGTGCGACAAGGAGCGCAGAGGCGTCGCGACGCTTTGCCCGGCACCGACGGCGGCTCGCGGGAGGCGGCGCGCGCTCGGTCCGACTCTCCGACGCATCCCTGCCCCAATTGCGTTCGAGTTTTCGAAAAATCGATTTTTGCACTTTTCCAGAAAATTGAAAACAAATATTTGGACAAAGTTAGCAACTTAAGTTGGTAACTTTGTTTCAAATATTTGTTTTCTTTTTTATGAAACTTACTCAAAATAAATATGAAACATTAGAAGTTTCTGGGACACCAAATAGTTATTGGAAACTTGAGGAATATTATTGTTTTATAAATTTTTTTTATTTCGTGTTTGTAAATATATAATTCATATATTTCTTTCTCGGATTCCTCATCCCTTTTATGGATTCTGAAGGATTCCTTGGTCTGACTTCTGAAATAGTTTGTTGCAAATATCATTAAGTGTGGTATCTCTAGTTTGATAAGCATTTATAATGTTCAGGCCGGAACAGGTTGATTTATATACATACATATATATTAGGGTGTTAAAAATTAAAAATTATTTTTTTTCCAATGGTGTTAAAAATTAATACTACATTAAAAAACAAAAATGTTGGCGCCTATTTGAGCCCTTAATATTAATATTAAGGTTTGCCTCAATTCATTTTTTGTTTTTTTAATTTTGAATTCTTATAACTTTGGAATGGTTTGTTTTCGCAACACCCAAGCGAGACGAGTTATAGACAAATTCACGCTCTACAAAAAACATCTGAAGGTCAAAGTTCTTCAGATCAACCGTTTCAAAGATATCAGCGATCAAAATTAACACTTATAAAAAATTTCAAATATTTTCAAATAAAATACAAAAAAATATCATATGCCATATTTATATTATTTTTTATGTAAAATCACTTTAATTCTGTTAACCTGAGACTGTTAACTTTTTTTTTTATTTCCAATAATAGAAATTTACATTTTTTACCAACCAGTAATTGGACACTGGCCATTTTACTGTTTGTTTTCAGAATTAAAATTAAAACGCATTAAAATGACAATGTTTAAACCATGAGGAACACATTTATACCACACACTGATCTGTACACTTTTTAGAAATATTTTTTATTGTAATTTAAACACAGCCCTGCTCTTTTAAACTTTAAAAGCGTGTATTTTCTAAAATATTTAAAAAAAAATGCCACTTCCTGTTTATAATCGAAACTGACATCCACTTTGTTGTTTCATATATTATATCACGAGAACTATGAATTTAATCGGTTAAACTAGGCTCAGTAGTTTTTTGTTTGTTTTTTGTTGGAAAATGTTTAATGCAAAATAATTTAATAAAATCACGAGACCGCGTAGCGGTCGAGGGGTTTTATTTTTAATTATTTTGCATGAAACTATTTTCCAAAAAGAAAAAACTTACTGAGCATAGTTTGACAGATTAAATTTATAGGTTGAGTGATATACGTCTAGATTATTTCTCGAATTAAAGGAAACTATTTGACAATTCATAAAATCTGACGTGTGTCAAAATTTATAAATATTTTTTTAAAGAAAAGTCCATTAATTTAAGGTATGTAATAAGTAATAATTGATATTTCGTAAACTAGATAACTTATTTTTTATTGTTTTTTAAAAAATGTTTGTTAAAACTTGTAAATAACACCATAAAATCGTAAACAAAAATTCAATATGGAGGCTAAAATTTAATCGCTGTTAAATAGTTCTAGTGATTTAATCGCTTATTTAAACGAAATTTATTCGAAAATTCAAGGCTTTTGATTGGTTCATATTATAATGAGGGAAATAATCTACAGTAAATTTAGATTTTCTCTTCGAGATAAACGCGATAGATGAAACCACTCTTCCTATGTAATTTAAATGTATTTTCATTATTATACTTTTGAACTGCGTACAAACATGAAGTCTTTCTATATAAGCTTACTCTTTTTTAAGGAAATACCTTGTCAGCGTATTTTATAATTTCCAAAAATTTTACCAAAATAGAGTTTGCTTAGACCTCTAAATTTTAGAGTCTAAAAAAAAAAAAAAAAACAGGGCTCGTGTGAGATTTGAACTCACGACCTTCAATTTAAATCAGTTTGACGCTCTAACCAACTGAGCTAACGAGCCATTGAATTTAAAAGCGTTTGTGTCAGGTTATATGCACATTATAGATGCATTAGTCATCGAGTTAATAATATGTATTCGGGACGTTATTTTTTTTCATTTGTTTTTCGAAGGTAACTTTAAAATTTGGGACAAATCTCGAGTTAAAAAATAGCCAATTTTCCAACTGATACCTACATATACAGTGTGTCTACTTAAGTTGAACATGGGAAACTTTCTTATTAATAATTTTACGAAGAAAAGTTATTTTTTACAAAAAGTTCTACATGTTCTAAAATCTAAAATAAAATTATAAGATATCAATTTTGTTTAGTCCTATAAGAGGTTTGACAAAAAATGTGAATTTGGTACAAGAGTAAAGTACCTTTTTTGTGATAATATCGGAAACTGTTATTATGAAAAGTTGTTCGGAATGATAAACTTTGTTTTAATACCTATGCAATTACATCCTTCTACTGTAAAAACAAGAGTTCTATAAATAGTTTCCTTAAACTCAAATCATTAGATGATGTTGTATACAATTATAACTATCTCAGTCGGTAATAATATAGAACTACTTTATTTTGGGTCCAATATAGGACAAAAAAGTTCGCACGTTACTGTGGTAAGATTTTTTTTAAGAGCAGGGCAGTGTAAATTACAATAAAAAATATTTCTAAAAAGTGTACAGATAAGTGTGTGGTATTAATGTGTTCCTCATGGTTTAAACATTGTCACTTTTATGCGTTTTAATTTTAATTCTGAAATCAACCAGTAAAATCGCCAGTGTCCAATTACTGATTGGTAAAAAATGTAAATTTCTATTATTGGACATATGTACATTGTCCAATAATAGAAATTTACATTTTTTACCAATCAGTAATTAGACACTGGCGATTTTACTGGTTGTTTTCAGAATTAAAATTACATTATTACATTGTACAATATCATACTCTATTTGTATCCCGGACATTAACAGCCAATTCATATGTAAAATTGTCCCCTGAATCCGAAAAGACCGCCAAAAACTATAAAAGTTAGGCAGTTTTTGAGATATAGTCAATTCCATATTATATGTAAAATTGATTATAATTCAAAAACTGTTCTACTTTTATAACTTCTGACGACATTTTCGGATTCAGCGAATAATATTTCATAAGAATTGTCCTGGATACAAATTGCTGTTGACGAGAATTATTATAATAATACTATAGTGGCTGCTTTTTCGCTATGACATTTTCGACTAATTCATTTTTAGAGAGTAAGTAATATAGTGATTTCTTCGTCACAGGACATCTTGCAGAATAACAGTGATTTAAATACAGTGCATGATAGAGAACATAAAAAACTAATGGCAACAAAATTAATAAATTCGGAAAATACTTTTAACATACCACCCGAAAAAATATTAGATATACATATATAAATCATCCTGTTCCGGCCTAAACATTATAAATGCTTCACATACTAGAGATACCACACTTAATGATATTTGCAACAAACTATTTCTGAAGTCAGACCAAGGAATTAGTAGTTACCTTCAGAATCCAGAAAAGGGATGAGGAATCCGAGAAAGAAATATATGAATTATGTGATATTTACAAAAACGAAATAAAAAAAATTACCTAAAACGGCAATTTATCTTTCAAAAATATTTAACAATTTATTTTACCTATTTGATGTAAAGTTGTTATGTTTATATAAAAATTGTATGTCCAATAACCCGAGAAAGAAATATATGAATTATGTGATATTTACAAAAACGAAATAAAAAAAATTACCTAAAACAGCAATTTATCTTTCAAAAATATTTAACAATTTATTTTATTTGATGTAAAGTTGTTATGTTTATATAAAAATTGTATGTCCAATAACTATGGTCCATGTTAAAGGTATGTAATAATTAATAATTGATATTTCGTAAACTAGATAACTTATTTTTTATTGTTTAAAAAAATATGTTAAAACTTGTAAATAACACCATAGAATCGTAAACAAAAATCCAATAAGAAGAACATTAACTTTTTGTTGTATTCAGTGGATATGGAAAACTTTTTCATGATTCCGCATTTTGCTATTTGCCTACCTCGAGTAGTTCTGGCATCAATTAAATATTCAATTTGCGTGTAATAATACCCGCAATGCAGTTTAGTTTAGTTTAGTTTACATTCCAGTCATTAAACTTGTTTAGGTCGACTGTTGTTACCGGTACAAGTTTACGAACTATATAACCATTAAACAGAGGCTGTAAACTCCGACGTTGTTTTGTTTTATTTTATCTAAAAATTAATGAAAGCTTGCTCTACCTGGCTTATACCGTATATATACACCGTATAAGTTATACGTATAATCATGTTTAATACCTTTTAGATCTGTATGAATTGTAATTAAGCGGTGCAATAAAACGAAATATTTTTGTAACATATTGAAATAATATTTATTATTTTTTTAGTTGTTTTAGTCACGGCTGAAGTGACTAAAACAACTAACCCTAAGTGACCTTTTAAATACACATTGACAAGTTGTGGCTTTATGGCGCTTTAGTCATGGGCTGAAGTTAGCAACAGGTTTTTAATCACGGGCTGTAGTTAGTTTTAAGTTAGTTGACAGTTGCCAAATGTCATACAATCGTTAAAATAAAGTGCCTTTCTTGTAAAATAATACTAAATGTGAAAATTATTTTATTATCTCAATACAAAAATACAAAAGTATTAAATAGTTTCTCAACGCCAATATTTGAAAAGTTTATATGAACATTGTACTGACCTTTTAATTTCGCCGGCAGTAAACTATAACTTAAATTCGGGCCCGGACTGTAAAGTGCTCATAAAACAGTTTCTTTACTTTCACTGTGAAAAACTGTCAATTTTCAAGAAATACATTTCGATTTATAACCTTTATAATCTGTGTTTATAAAATGTAAAAATATGACATTTGACGGTGACACACAGATTTCCCTATTGTTTCATAGATGGCGCTCTAGACAAATTTTTGATTTAAATCATTTTAAGATAATAATAAGTATTTGTCGTAGAAAAAGTATAGTATGCACCTCGTTTATAAACTTTTCTATACACTCATTAAATTAAGCACTCGCTCGCAAGCTCGCTCGTGCCTAAATTAAATTCGTGTATAAAATGTCGTTTATCAAACTTGATACATAATATAGTATTATTCTCAGCAACGTGTAGAAATTGTTCATTATCTACCGCAGCTTAGTTTATTAATTTTAATTACTTACTTTATATTTATTGTTGTGATTTTGTCCTTGGGTAGCTGACGATCTAGATCTTCTATGGGTTATACCGATATCTTCACCTTTCATAATGGATTCCACGACTAAAATAAAAAAAAAATTTGTTTATTTATTTGTAAGTAATAGTTATTTATGTCATTAGGTTAAGAAGTAAGGCTTTTTGTGCTAAGCTCAAGGTTTGAAGGCCGACGCGTAGCGGATGCCTACAATTGAGCGAAGCACAAAAAGGCACTTCTTGGCCGAATGGCATACAACATTTTATCTTCAAAGCACTTTATATAGGTAAATTTAATTCAACATCAAAGCGCCCTAACCTCACTTTTTTAGAATCTTATTTATTTATTAGCTAAAGATTACATTAAATGTACAATAATTATTATTGCTTTTAGAAGCAGTAATAGTTTGACAATACCTAGCTACATGATTTGAGTAGAAATTGATTTTTGCTATTACATTGAATTCAATTAATTGTTTAATAAAGGAATCTAATTTCAATTTTATGGATTTTTATTTAAAAAAATAGGTAGTTTGGAATGTTTAAGCTGTGTTTAACATTTAATTTCACTGAAAACTTAAAGCAAATTAAAACTTAAAGATAATTTAAATCGTAGAAATCGTGCGTTTTCTGGGTTGTCTAACCTCACTTTTTGTTTTATTATTCATATTTAATTTTACAATAATTTAATGAAAAATATTAAACATTAACACTAAAACAAACAAATAAGTGCTTATTATAAATAAATTAAACCAGTTTAGTACGTTAATTTCTTAGAAAATGATTAATTTGTCAAAACAATACCCCTAGCGAGAAAAAATCGAACTAATACTTGCTTCATTATTTGGTTATAGCTGATTTCTGATTAATTTATTTATGCTTGTAAACAAAAAAAATTCCAAATTCAACTTAGTTTATCAAAGTTATCATCACGAAACTTTGTCGCTCAGTTTACACATTAATTATTTTACACAGTCATTAATAGTTGGCAAGTTTGTTCAGAAGAAGAGTTCCAGCAACACGAAAATTAACATAGTTGCAAAGTTGGCTATGTAACGATCGTGGCTGGCATAAAAGCAAAACGAAAACATTGTACAATGAAATTTTCCGTGAACTAAAGTCGTTAAAGTTTTTTTAGAAAACTTTTAACTTCCACACAGAACAGTTACTTAAAACTTTTCATCGCATACAATTTTAAGTTTTTTGGTAATCTTTCGTACTTTTTAATTAGAAAAGTGTTGGGTACTTGCAAAAGTCCCCGCCTATTCTATTCATAAAAAAGTCAGCAACCATCTATACAGAATAAAAAACATTGCACAAAGTCCACTATGCAACCAAGTAGGTTCAATTCTTTCTTATAAATATTACCAGTAATGGGTCAAGAAAGTTTATTGAAGAAACTAAGAAAATTGAATGTTTAAAATGTCATGAGTTACTATATTGTATACTATATTTAAATATATTGTTTATTAACCTTAAACATAAAAGTATCTTTATTTTTAATATATTTTTTATTAATGTGTAATTTATTATAATATTAGATGTACAGCTTACATTTGATTAAATCATATAGTAAATATTACTATTTGTAGATAGTAAAATCAATTTACTATACGAACATATTAAAAATTAAAATATATATTCTACATTTATGATTTAGTAATATTGGTGTTGCAATCTTTACTAAAATTGTATAATAAAAAATAGTATTTTGTATTACAATCTTAATATTGTATTGACGAATATATAATATTGTTACCCTAAAAATTTGTTAAAGTAAATTTTACTATATTTTTTTACTATCTAAAATTTACTATACATTTCTCTCCGTGTAGGTAGGTATTTGCAAAATTATTCAAGTATTGGGATAAATCAATAATTATGACCTGGTGATCAAATGAGGATAAAAAGTGCTTATATGTTCCTACTGTGCTACATTATTGATCAGCTTACCATTTATTTTGGTTTTTAATTTATGTTTATTTTATGTTTTCAGTTTATATTAACTTAATTCTATCCTTACAACATTTTTGTGTTGGTCGCTGAATACATAGTTATCTAAATTAATACTTTAATTTCATTTTCCTTTTTACCACCCTCGGATACCAAAAATTATTAAAAGTTTTAAATAAATTGTAGAAATTATTATTAAACAATGTTGTGTTATTATGTGCCAAAATTTGTGCAGTTTCACCACAAAATATTATAATTAAAAAGTCTCTAAAATACTCATTTTACACAAATTATATTTGATTAAAATATGTTCAAATGTCAAATAAAAGTTTACTACAATTATTTGGTACAATTTACCACAAATTTAGCACCAATTTGTTGAAGAAATCCAACAAATTTTTCTCTGTGTTAGTGTAACAAAATATTTACAGAAAGTTTTAATACAAAAAATAAAAGTTGAATGAATTCCAAAACTTGTTGAACGGTTTTGTTTTTCTTTTTCAATATCCCTTAAAAGTTTTCACCGTCTTGAATTACTTAACGTTTTTTATTAAGGCGTTCCCAGTCTAAAATCTAATTTTGAGAATAAATATTTTAAGAAAATTTTAATAAAAACATATTAAAATTTTTATCATAAAAGAAATGGTTTAAATAACAAGGACTATATTTATGTTCCAAAGTGATTGACGCAATTTAAATTAGTATTTTTTCAAAAATCTTACCTCCATCTCCAATCAACCTCATTTGTACAAGTTTAGGGTCTTCGTTGTGATCTTCCAACACAGTGTCGTCGGTTACTGTCAGGTCCTAAAATACATTAAAAAAACAAAAGTGTAATAAAATATTTAGTTCAAATTGTATTGATATATTTAGTTAAAATTGTATTGATATATCAAACAACCTAAATATTAGAAAAACGGTGTATACTTTAGCAGAGGAAAATCCGTTTAAAAAGTAAATTTTCTATAATTTGTTGGAAACAGTAAGATTTTATATTTAACCATTTTCACAATATTGCAGTGAGTCTTGAGCTGAGTCACAAATTTCCTGGGCTACCACACGTGGGCTACCACACGTGCGGGCGGCATGCAATAAGGATCAATTTCAGCACACCTGCCTGGCAATTATCCCGAAGTCAAATGTCTGCATAAATTAGATAAGTAGCTACCAAAATTGCATGACCATATAATACCCAATAATATTAATACTAGTTAATACGAAATCCGCAACCTTCAACTAACAATAATTCGTCGCAAACAATTTCCAAGATTCTCATGCAAAAATGAAAACATAGTCAAAAAACTATAAACACAAGGGCACATAAGAAGCCATTAATCACTCAAGTTACGATAAAAATTAGGCAAAAGAAACCATCTTAAAGAAATAAACATCTATAGATTACTAAGGGGACCATAAATTAGGTAAAAACCGTTCCAAGCGTAAATAAACAGCCGCACCGCACAGTGAGGCGCAAAGATGGACCCAACCCCAAGTAAATGGGGATCACGCACAGTGGGAAAAAAAATTCGAGGGTATTGGCAATTTCAGTAGGTTAAACAAAGGCGGGAAAAACAGCTGCTTATGAAGTCGGTTCTCGGCATGAGGGGCTGAATTTCCACATAGTCAAAGAGCACCAATTACGGCGGGGTGCGGCCGACAACACTTTGGTTCTGAAGATAAGACTCAATATCGCACAGGGGGGCAAACAATTCTAAAGCGGCTACCAGGAACCGAAATCCGACTCGGACAGCGACGAACAGGAAGTACACCATCAAGGAAAGGCTACTAATCCACCAACCAGGAATCTCAACTGAATGGGGTTATTACTAAAGCCCTGGTTGAGGAGGATTCCGGATTGTACTTAGTTTTGGGTCAGTTAAATGTCCTCCAAAAACCCCTCCTAAACTGGACGTATGGCCCGACCCGGCTGACAAAAATCCGTGGAGCGGCCTTAACCATAGACGACCTCCTAGGGTGGATCTACCAGCCGGCGTAATCCAACAAACACAGGTAATGCTGTGATTTGGCGGGATTCGCAGGAGAACGGAAAGGGGGTAATATAACCCTGGGAGATTAGTGGAGGATAATGTATTTGGGGCCTGCCATACGTTCCCATACTCATACCATTTTCACAATATTGCCAAGAAAAGAGTTAAAATCTGTTGTTAAAAATATTTTAAAAATAAATGGTGAGTAATTATTGAATATTATTTTTCCGAATAGGTAATAAAAGTGTTTCTATGTTTTCTATGATTATTATTATTGATCAGATTACTATTTACCTTAGTTTGTATTTTATGTTTATTTTATGTTTTCAGTTTATATTAACTTAATTCTATCCTAACAAAATTTTTGTGTTGGTAGCTGAATACATATTTAATCTCAAACCAAAATTTTAGAAGAGGGATTTTTTTTCCAAATTAATTAATAGTGAAAAACCCTTTGGTATAAAGTTCGGTGCCACTTTCAAGAAAATAAAATCGTTTTTCTTGAAAATATCTTGTTAATAGTTTCCAACATAGGAAGTAAATTGGCATAATAAGCAAGTTAGGTAAACAAAGTTGCTCTATAGATCAAAGAAGGGAAACATCAGAATCCAGTTATGAAAGTTTAATAGAAGCAAAACGTAACTCGCCGAAGTTTTCCGGTAAAGAATTTGATTTCATCTGGGCGTCGCGACGCGTCGAGGTCTCGGAAGTTGCGAAAGTGGAACGGATCGAACCTACGCACAGTGCACCATCCAAATTACAATTTCAATTCCAAATTGAATATAGTACATAATTTTTCCGCAAGAGAGTTGTCTCAAAATGTAACAAAATGTACTGGTAATGTGTAAAACAAGCAACTAACCCCATTGTAAAGATTTGCATTGTTTGTGTAAAACAAGAAATAAACAAATTGTAGCAATAATGCATTTAGTCTGTGATGAAGAACGCAACCATACTAACGCGTGTAATATATAAAAACCCAAGTTTGTGTATTTTTGGTAGTATAGTTGGTTTAAAAGTTATTTATGTAATAGGTATCAGAGAGTAAAATATGATAGAATATTATCCAACAAAATTAAAACAAATCATGGCGTACCGCAAAGAACCTATATTTATAAATGATATAACCACATGTTCTTAATATTTGATGGCCTTTAGCCTAAGATTTGTTAATTTGCCGATGATACCATGGTTTACATAATAGGAAATAACATTTATGATATGGTCACTAAAATTAACTGTGATTTAAAAAACATATATACCTGGCTTTGTGTTAACAAACTATCGTTAAATGTAAACAAATCAAAATGTATTTTATTTGGCAGTAGATCTAATATATCTAAAACTAATAATAAGTGCAAATTAATAATAGCCAAATAGAATGTCTTCCTGAAATTAAATATTTAGGTGTAATTTTAGACCAACATCTAAATTTTCAGAGTAATTCACTACAAGTAATGAACAAAATGTCCAAAAAAGCTTTCTTTCGAAGAAGAATTAGTAAAAACTTAACCTTACATACAAAGCTCCTTTTATATAAATCCTTAATTGTACCTCAAATTGATTAATGTTCAACAATATTATTTAGTGTACCCTCTTATAGAATACAGGAAATGCAATGCATTCAGAATCGCTGTATGAGAAATTAATTTAATGTTAAGTGTTTTAGATCTAATGTCAATAAAAAAAGAGTATTTTTTAATTCAATGTTATTTATATATAAAGTCAGGTTCCAGCACTTGAGAAGGCACCACGCGAGAGCGAGAGCTCTTAAAACATAAAAGTTTAAAGATTAAAACTAACAATAATTTTTAAAATGTGCAAACCAATTATAGTGAAACAAATTTTTTTCATAGAGTGCAAACTAAAATGGTGCAACGATCAATGAGGAGTGAAGTGTTAAGTGATTAATGAGGTAAGTGCCACCTGTCATTGGACGCCATCCGCAAAAAATTGATAAGTAACTTTAAGCATATGCATGACCTAACACATAATCTGCAAATTAAACACGACAGATATCTTTAAAACCCTAAAAAAGGCACACTGCGTAGGACAATAAATCTGTCAACAACAAATGCGTAAGGCAAACCCAAACGCGACAAATAATAAACACTAGACACACAGAATAAACTAACATATTAATAATTATAACCCTAACATAGTAAAAAAAGTATAATAACCAAACTCTACTGGATAATTGCGCTTGTCATTTGTTTAACTAATAAATAAATGCAATACTTAATTTTGGAATTTAAGAAAAAAGACATAACTCTACCACAAAACGTGCTTGGGCAATACAATAACAAAAAAAATGTTAGAAATTTCGCACTGCGGCAATAAACAATTTAAAAAAAACAACACCAAAAGCTACAAGTTACATATCCAGCTACTGAACTATTTATTGATGGTTTCCATCAGCATCGAGACTGAGGACACGGGCAATGACAATAACGAACAAGACGAAGACCTCGACTAGGAAACTACACCCCTGCAGCGAAATAACAACTCTCCAACTCCAATAGTAAATGTTTGGAGTAATACTAATCGACTGGTCTGGGAGGATTCCGCGTCGTACTTAGTTTTAAGTCGGCGTAATTGTCCCCCAAAAACCAACAAACGTCTATCCCTCCCGTCCCTCCTCCTCTATACCTTACTGGGCGTATAGCATCGGCTCGGCGAACCCGAGAATGGCTATTAAAACTATTCGCATGTCGCTCTCGAGCCCCAAATAGGGGGCAGTACGGAACGTAATGGACATTCGCACACAGCAAACACGGGTGAAGCTGTGCAGTTGCTGGGGAAGAACAAAAATCGGCGTAAGTAAACATAGGCCTGTAAGGGGTCCGGGAGTATGAGGCAATGGGGCTGGTTATACGTCTCTTATACTTATACTCATACTCACATGTGAGTGCACAATTATAACATTTTCTGGACCCAGATTATAATGACAAACTCAACAAGTACATGACTAAAATGCACATATAAAAAATTGTGTAGCAACTACAAATTGCTGTTCTAGTTGTTGTAAGGTATAGTCATAAATTTTTTTGAATGTGTATTACAATATTTTATTTTTTCCGTATTTTCAACACAAGCTCATCATAAAAATGGAGAGCTAGTTTTTTCAAATTGGATCACTGTGCTCTGCGGCTATGAATATGCAGGGGGGAGCGGGTGGGGGTAGGGGGGATCCTAACCGTTTGTCTGAAGTTGGGGGAGACACGCACGTGTCTGTCTAAACTATCTCCATTAAACAAAGTTTCCTCGGTTTCGATCGGAGTTTCCGAATTGTACGAGGCCAAAGTTTCCTAATGAATTCGTAAAGTTAACATAAACTCGCTGGAAACTTTCAACTCGGATTTATAATTTGTTTTATCGTCTGGTCGCTCGCTCATTTCTGTTTCCCGACGCTTATTTACTTTTCTTCGTTTTTCTTCCGCCATGTATTAATTATGTTAGAGAAGTCAAAATTAATTTCTCAACTTTACAATCTTTTTCAAGTTGAATTAATGTCTTGATGTCTTTAAAAAATGTTTTGCTTACCCTTGTTGTTTCATTATATCCAACAATCACGGCTGTATACCATTGGGTGGTACCCTCGGCACGGTATACTTCAACACGGTACCCAACCAAAACACTGGGTGTCGTGAGGAGGATTTTCTGTCCGTTCTGGTGCTCGACCCATTGGCGTGCCGCCCTTTTTACTTCGGGGTAGTCCCGTACTCCGTACAAGGTACCGTTCCATTCCTAGAAGAAATACAATATACAGTTTTTAAGACTCTTTAATAAGGTTTTGATAAAATTAAAAAGTGTTCATACACTTTCTCAAAATATTTCTTTTAAGCGTTCTCCAAATATTTCGAAGTATTTAAATATGGGTCATTTAACGGAAACACAGAGAATTGAAGTTTTAATTCTCATAGGATGTGGCAATAAAACTAGACCACAACAAGAAGTTTGCAATTTACACTATAGTGAATTTTTACACTATAGTGAATTTTTTTTTCGACTTTGTA